CTGAAGCACAGAGGAGTGTCAGAGGTAAGATTGTTTCAACTGATTTTTACGATGCGGTCTCATTTCCGGACTCAATAATTTTGTGAATGAAGCTGATATCTCAGTTAAACTACTTAAGTAAAAATATTTATCTGAGTATAATACTACCCCCCAACTTTATGGATGATTTTATGGGTTTATTTTTACGTATTATACTTGAATAAACACGGTAATCAATATGCATAACATAAGGAGAGCCCTTAATTTAAAACGAGGTCAAATTTATTCAGCTGTTTTTCCAGTACTAAAAAAATCAGCATTAATAAAATGATGCCACTGGTCAAACACATTTATATCATCTGGGATCATCAATTCGATACATCTACAATAAATTACTGAATAATAATTAAATTATGATTAGTGTTAAAGTAAATTTAAGATAATTAATTAAAGATATCTTAAATGACATCAGGTTTGTAGATACAGTAAATATTTGTGTTCTGGTGAGTTTTTCTGACATTTTTATTATTCATATTGATATTTAAATATTKTATCGACTGAAATTAGCAGTTATATTGTGATATAAATCTTAGCCACATCATCCAGCCCTAGTTCAGCGTACATCCAAATGTTTGTACATACCCATTTGTTAACATGGTTGGCCTTTGCTCCATGAGTTGCTAAGAAAAGAGCAGCTGCCTCGTTGCCTGCCAGAGCTGCTCTTTGCATGAGGCAGTTTTCTGTAAGGAGTGCAGTAAAGAAGTGAATGTGCCATATGAACTGTCACTGTTCCATTTTCAGATAAATATAATGAAACGTCACAGAACAGCACCTGCAGCAGTGTCAGGGGCATCAGGGTTGCTTCCTCTGTTAATGAGCTGGGCTGCGAAGCCGTTCTCGTCAAACGAGGTGCCATTCACAACTGGTACATCGTCTTCAAACGGGTTTACTGAGGGGTCTGAAGATATGGTGATGTGCTGCAGAGCTAGCCACAGAGCGGTGCTACCTTCATGGTCTTTTAGTTCCAGGTCCAGCCTGAAGATGGACAAATTATTTCAGCTTAGCAGGGTCACATTTCCTTAATGCTTGGTCCTTTAAAATGATTATGACCTAGTTGTAAGATTAAACCAAGTGGACATGCTCATACTTTTAAGTCAGTCAGTCAGTCAGTCAGTAAGACAGTCAGTCAGTCGTAAGTCAGCCAGTCAGTAAGTCAGTCAGTCAGTAAGTGAGTAAGTAAGTCAGTCAGTCAGTAAGTCAGACAGTGAGTAGGTCAGTAAGTAAGTCAGTAAGTAAGTCAGTAAGTAAGTCAGTAAGTAAGTCAGTAAGTAAGTCAGTAAAGAAGTCGGTAAGTCAGTAAGTAAGTCAGTACGTAAGTAAGTCAGTAAATAAGTCAGTAAGTAAGTCAGTAAAGAAGTCGGTAAGTCAGAAAGTAAGTCAGTAAGAAAGTAAGTCAGTAAGTCAGTACGTAAGTAAGTCAGTGAATAAGTCAGTAAGTCAGTAAGTAAGTCAGTAAGTAAGTAAGTCAGTGAATAAGTCAGTAAGTCAGTAAGTAAGTCAGTAAGTAAGTCAGTAAATAAGTCGGTAAGTCAGTAAGTAAGTCAGTGAATAAGTCAGTAAGTCAGTAAGTAAGTCAGTAAGTAAGTCAGTAAATAAGTCGGTAAGTCAGTAAGTAAGTCAGTGAATAAGTCAGTAAGTCAGTAAGTAAGTCAGTAAGTAAGTCAGTAAATAAGTCGGTAAGTCAGTAAGTAAGTCAGTGAATAAGTCAGTAAGTCAGTAAGTAAGTCAGTAAGTAAGTCAGTAAATAAGTCGGTAAGTCAGTAAGTAAGTCAGTGAATAAGTCAGTAAGTCAGTAAGTAAGTCAGTAAGTAAGTCAGTAAATAAGTCGGTAAGTCAGTAAGTAAGTCAGTGAATAAGTCAGTAAGTCAGTAAGTAAGTCAGTAAGTAAGTCAGTAAATAAGTCGGTAAGTCAGTAAGTAAGTCAGTGAATAAGTCAGTAAGTCAGTAAGTAAGTCAGTAAGTAAGTCAGTAAATAAGTCGG